CATGAGGAGCTAGTTCACTGTTCCTAGCCACTTCAGGAAGTCAGCCTTTATCTAAGATTCTTTGTCACTTTTATCAGGTGAAATGTTAATAATTCTGCAGTTTTCCTGCCTCCTAGAGCTGTTAAATGAAGAGCTGAATGATGTTTGTAAAGTGCCCGTGGTGATAAATAGCACATAGAATTCATTACATCTAATTTCCTACCATGTACTAGCACTAGTGAAGCATACAGAAAAAAGTCGTCAAAGCACATGGCAAGTGTTGTAATGGAGTTTAGTTTGGTTAGTTTTACAAGTATGGGCATGGCACGAAGTGCCTAAATCTGTGAGTGGTAGGGGGAAGGGTCAGGGAAGTGTATATTATAAGTAGTGGTTACCTGGCTGAGTCTTGGAGAAGTTAATCAGATGAATGGGAAGTGGGAGCAAAAGAAATAGCACTGGAAAAGAGAAGCAGGATCATGAAACAGTGTGGCTCCTTGTGGGAACTCCAAGGAGTTTAGGTGTGTGAAGTTGTGGTCATTTCAGCAGGGTAATCAGATGCCAGATCTTGTATACTCTTGTACAGAGTTTTGTCTTGATCCTGTTTGTAGTGTTGGGAACCCATGGGCTTTATTCCGAAGGTAGTCTTGGGGGTTATACGTTAAATAGGCTTAGGACATCAAAAGTAAAACTGGAAGTTCTGCAATTTTTCAGGTAAGAAATGATGACAAACCATTGTAAGACACGAGAAGTGAGGATGGGACTGGATGAATCTAGGAAATACTTAGATGACAAAATAGATTAGGCTTTATAATGTATTGGATATGGTAGATGAAGAAGAGGTAAAAACCAGAATGGCTCCTAAGTTTGTAGCTGGTGATCAGGTGAATGCTGTACTAAAAGAATGGAAATTAGGGCCGAAAACAGATTTGGGAGGTGAGACCATGAGTCAAGTTTTCCACTTATCATATTTAATGTGCCTACGGGGCATCCAAAGAGTGATATCCAGTAGAGAGCTGCATACGTAAGTTAGGGGCCCAGAGTCAAGATCTTAAGTGGAAATACAGACTTGGGAGTCCGTGGTAAATGTAGGGTGGGGAAATCATGACAGTGGGCCAGGTAATCCTAGTTTGTTTAGAGGGAGGGCTGATGTTCTCAATGAAAACCTGAGGGAAGGCCAGCATCTAACCAGTACACAAAGCAAGAGAGGTCCGCAAAGGAGACTGAGAAGAATCAGAACAGAAAGAAACTCAGAAAAGTATGTGGGCCCTGGGAGAAGAATGGCCAACAGTGAGAAATTCTGGAGAGAGTATCATAATGATAAACAGCATTCTTTGGGCTTGCCAGTTCCAGTTACCCATTAGAAAATAAATTGTTTCTTATATAAGAAATTCCCTTCTTTTCTGAAGTATGGATACAATTTAATTATGCTTCTCTTACATTTTATTTTTATTAATTTATATTTTGACTAATGTGGTGTTTTTTTTTTTTATTCAGCTGCAACTTCAGCTGTCAACTTTTTGAGGGTAGGGACCATGATTTATTCATCTTTAAATTGTGAATTATGTTGGCACAAGGGATCACTGAAATATTTATTGAATGACTGAATAATTGATAGTTACTTGTTTAAGCATCAAAAACATAAACTTTTTATGATTTTTGCTGGAAACATTTATAAACTACATTGTTTTTCTGCCTTTTAAAGTGGAGCATACTGAACATAATGTAATCTTTCATTTGTTGGAATGACTCCACTGTATGAATATATGGGCTGTTTATCCTACACGAAAATGACTGCACTGTACACGGTGATTCAGCCTTATCTCTCCTCTTTCTTTTCCTTGATGAAGACCAGAAGGCAAGATTAGTATTTGTCAGATTTTTAAAATTCTGAGGTAATCATACTTGCATGCCAGTTATTTGTATAAAACATATATAATTTCTCAATATTTCATATGATATTCACAAATGTAGTTGAATGAGGAGAAGACAGGCAGATAGAATCAAAGTTGAGGTCAGAAGTAGTCTTTCTATGCCTCAAGTTGTGAGTGCATAGACAAAATTTTTAAAATACTGGTTTTTATACATTTCTAAACTTACATTGTCTACTTCTGTAAGAGTTATATCTGTGAGTTTTAAGTAAGATAGTAGGTAATTTCCACCTTTTTGTAAGGTGCATAATATTTCATCATCTTTATAAAGCTGGATATCATCAGAGTTTTTAATGTACTGGTAGAACTCAATTCATTTTTTCCAAAGGAATTTAGAAACTGTAAGACAAATCTTCTATATATTATAAGAATAAATATATCCATAAGGCACAAAGTAAGGTAAACATTGATCTTATGCTTATCCAGGGTTTAGTGTGAATTTGATACAATTTACAGCTTGAAAAAAGACTGAAAATAATCAAACAGTTATTGATACTTGGGCAAGTAGATTCCATGAAACCTGTGATAGTAGCATATTTTAACTCTATATCTTAAGGCTATATCCAAATGTATAAGTCAATTGTTAAATATATGGAGCTCTTGAAAATTTGACCATTTCATGAGTTTAAAGATTCTGAATGTGAAAAAATAAAACATGTTGTCTGCTTCTTTCAGACTATTTTGGCCAAAATCAAAGTGTTATGATTATTTATATCAAGAAGCAGAAGCTCTTCTGAAAAATTTTCCAATTCAAGCCACAATTTCATTTTACGAAGATTCTGATAGTGAAGATGAAATTGAGGAGCTGACCTGTGAAAATTAATCTGATTAGCTACTTTTGATTATATCCAGAGCTTTTAGGGTTTAAATTTAGTGTACAAATGTATCATAATTATTTTAAGCTAATTTATTTGTATATAAATTATTAATAAAGTGAAATATTTTATAATTAATCTGGTATTTGGCCTTTTTTTATCCCTACACTAGAATTGAATGTTGGAATCTAAAATAGGTGCCATCTACAAATGTCTTGATTGCATCATAAATATTTGGCGCTTACAAAGAATAAATTTTTCTCTTCATTAAATTGCAAATTTATATTTAGTTATAATTTTGCAAAGAATGAAATGACAGTATTTAATTCTCAGGACTGAATCTTTTAACATCTGCTATTTCCTACTGATGCCAGTTGGATGTTGTAGCTACAGATTAGTATTATCTTATTAGATAATGAAGAAAATAGCCTTATGTTAGAAATCACTCATTTATTAGTAAAGATTTTTTAGCAGGTGGAAAAAACACATTAAATCATTATCTGTAATTGAAAAAGGGAATCAATCTTAGGGCTCTTAAATTATAGATATTTTACATAAATGATGAGCAAAGTAACTCTTATGTTAATACTCCTTTTCAGTCCTTAAATCCAGTAGTAAAATAGTATTGATATTTAATACTTAATGTACTACATCGAGGGATCCCTAGAATTAAAACAAAATGTTTAAATTTGAGTGATTGATATGGAGTCTAAAAAAGTGGAGTCTAAAGGCCAGAAGTTGATAGTATCTTCCATTTCTGTAGGGGAGATAAGAAATTTGGAAAGTATGGAACATTCTTCAACAATATTAACTTATCCTTGTTCTGGTTCTCTGCTTTTGTTATTCTTGTGCAAAAGTTTTCTCATGAGAAGTGAAATAAGTCTCAGTGATTAGTTTTTCTTATGTAGACTCTAGAAGAATATGTCATCATTTAATGAGAGAGAGAGAACACTGCAGCAGTTTGCAAGGTCAAAGTAATACAGTTAATTATAGCCATGAGGTTCTTTTAGCTCAAATTCAGTCTTCTTGTAATAAGCATTTCAATTGCAAATAAAAATGGATAGAGGTGAATGTCATAGGTGGCTAAGGAGCTAAGAAATGCCTTTTATTTGAATGGCTACATATAGTCACACACTTTTTCTTCTGATTTAAAAGATTCTACAAACATAACCTTGATTTTTAGTCACTTTAAGAACTAAGTAGTTAAACAGAGAAAGTTTAAAGCATGACAATATGTTCAGAGTTAGGAAAAGTTAGTAATTAAAGGAGGATGGGGAGGATTATTTAAAACTATGTTTCTTCTGAAAACTTTCTCCCTCATTGGATTCTACTCTCAAGATCTATGTGCTTCCCAAGGGACACACAAAACAAACAAACAAACAAACAGAAAAATCAGATTTTGAGCATTAGAGCCTGGTGTTTACCTACAGTGTTTGTCCTTTTCCCATTAATATGTTGGAATAGTACGAACAGCCACTGCCACTTATTCAGTACCTAATATTAACCAGGCACCGCAGTATGTAGTTTACATATGACCCTTTAATCTTTAATAAACCCATTATGCAGATGGGGAAAATGAGACTTTGAGATACTAAAGTAACTTTTATAAGACAGTTCAGTCATTAAGTGCAGAGATGGCATCCAAACCAAATCTGACTTTTAAACGTTACTTCATCACCACAGCTGGAGGTGAGCCGCATCAGTACACAACTCCCAGGGAAGACAGGAAGTTACATAAGGAGGGAGAATTTGTGAGTGGGTGAATAGAGCAGAAGGAGACTTTACTAATGTCTTTCGCGCATTCATCAGTCCTTAGCATGCTTAAAGTTGAGGTTTAAGGATGCTTAAAGGTGAGGTTTTCTTCTTACCCCACAGTAGTGGCTGTTGACATTTGATATTTTTGCTCTTAAAGGTGTGAGGTGCTTTTTCCAGTACAGTCTAGTGCCTTACAGGAAAGAATTTCAGAGAAACTAAAATGCGTTTTTATCCATATTTCAAATAGTGTATTTTATTCCATATTTCAAGTAGTGCGATGGTACTGCTTAACAATGAACACACATTGCTGTTCCGGGTTAGCAGGATTAAGAATTTGTTCCCAGATTCGGTCAGCACCAAGGCTAAGGAACAGCTTCACTCTCTAATCTTTCCACGAAATAGCTGTCACCTTGCTCCGGTGCTGAAGTGCGGGACGCGGAACTAACTGAGCATGCGTACTTCCTCCCTGCCGGCCCTCCCTCCGCCCCGTTGGCTCCGCCCTCCGCGGACGTGCTGCGTCATAGCGCGTCTCACCCCTGGCGACCCCGGAAGTGGGTCGGGGGCTTGGCCTCTGCCCGGCCACAGAGCCGGAGCTGGAGGTACTACCCCGTCCGGCGGCGAACCCCGGGCAGGGCCCGGGGCTGGAGTTTCAAGATGCTGAACGTCCCTTCCCAGTCTTTCCCGGCCCCCAGGTCGCAGCAGCGTGTAGCCTCCGGGGGGCGTAGCAAGGTAAGCGGGTGGCTCCGTGAGTCTCTCCCCTCGCTGCGTTTCGCGCTCCGGCAGTCTGTTCTCTCCTTCCGCCCCAACTCCCAGCTCATGTACACCTCTCTAAGCTGTCGTTCCCTGCTATCCTTGCCTACAACCTCTTTTTGATCCCACTCTGTCTACAGTCCCTAAACTCTCCTTATCTCCCTCCCTTTCCCCTTGTAGCCCCTCTTATTTCTGGTCCTTTATCTCGCTCTATCTGTTCCCTTCCTCCAAGTCCTTTCCCGCGATTTCAATTTATATGACAGAGCCAGGCACTGTGCTTGCGGTATTATAGACGCTTGGTATTAGCCTCCTTCCCTCAACCTCATCTCCTCGCTGGTCTTTTGTTCTTCACTGCCTGAAGGAGTTGTACCACATCACTCGATGTGGGTTCCCTTGCAGGAGGGAAAGGCATGGCGGTGGCGATAGTGACCGTCTGTGCAAGGATGGGGGCTTGAGCTGGGGAGCTAGGTCAGGTTTACAGACACTATCCAAGTCATACTGCCTTTCTTTCTTCCCCTGGTACCTGATTGTTTTATCATTGCCTTTTTACTGTTATCTACTGTTATCTTGCTAACTTTGAAGCAAATATAATACTCTTGAGTTTTTGTTGAGCACAGTTGCTATTAGCAACAGGTGGAATACTGTGCAGATATATTCTGTATTTGCAAAATTCAATAAAAATTGTGTTCTTTGTTCTTTTGCGTTGTTTGTTCCTGTTTATGTGTTAGTTCCTCATTCTGTAACCATATCTTTATCTTTTGTTTGTGACACTTCCACCTACTTGGGCCACTCGGTTAACTCTTGAGTCTTAGCATCATTTGGAACCCTTGTCGATTTTCTTATTTTTCTCCACTTATATTTGGCGTTCTGATTCTAGTTCAGAATGAATATAGGTTCAGGGATCTGTAGTTTTCATTAGCTTTCCAGAGATTTCTTAAGTACTTTTTATAGGTGGCCATGTATATTTTTAGTGCTTTACATGTATTAACTTTAATCTTCACAATTATCCTGTGAAGTGAAAGCTTTTATTGTCTCTATTTCACAGAAAAGGAAACTGGCTAAGAAATGTTGCCTTAAATTGCTTAGGCTTGTGTTGTGGTTCTGCTGTGAGATTTCATTACTGATTCATATGTCAATCATCTAGCCATCCAGGCATGTATATTTTTCTCACTGGTTTTTGACCTGTTTCTTGAAGCTAAATACTTGATTGAATAACATAGTCTTTCCAGAGAGAATCTCTGAATTAGAATATGAGTTGCTGCCCTTCTTCGTTAAAAATACCAACTATGTTCTTAGCATCCATTTAAAGGAGAAAACTTAGAAGCAAACCAAAAAGTCACACAGATGGCGATGGCAAAGGTGAGTCTTTGGTCCAAAAAGAGAGCACAATAAGATTATTGTGCAATTCTAAGGAAAACTCAGACTCCACTCTTTTTCCTCTTTCCTTTGTGAAACAAGATGATGCTGAGAATATAAAAACTGAGTCAGGTTTGGATGAAATGGGTAGAAGTTGAGAAAATAGAACCTAGTTGGGAAGGTTGGGAGCATGCAGCAGGTTCTCAAATAATGTTGTTTCATTCAACAGCATTAAGTTATAATATCGATGAGAAAAAAAAAATCGTTTCACCCGGGGCCACTGTCTCTGGCACACTCTAACTGTGTCTGCATAGGTTTTCTCTGGGTACTCTAGTTTCCTACTACAACCCAAAGATATGCAGGTTAGGTTAATTGATGTGTCTAAACGGTCCCAGTCTGTGTGAATGTTGGGTGTGTATGAGTGTGCCTTGCCGTAGGATGGCATCCTGTCCAGGGTCGATTCCTGCCTTGCTCCCTGAGCTACTGGGATAGGCTCTGACTACCTGTGACATTGAACTGGAATAGTTGGGTAAATAATTATCTTATTGTTTTTTAATTAATCTTTCTTAAATGTATATATAGCTAACATTTCTTTCAGTGTTTAATATTAGAAGTATTTTGGTCTTTATTTAGAAGTCTGGTGATGTTTTTGTGACCAGAAATATGCTGCAGGAACTTTTGTTTATGTCAGTTAACCCACGGTAAAATTAGTTTCGTTGTACATAATTTAGTTTCCAAGCACCTGTTGACCAGCTTAAGTGAGGACTTACTGTAATTTTTTAAAGGCACAGATTTTGAAGTGAGAAAGACCTAGATTCTTTCACCATATCTGCCAGTTAATCTCTTTGAGTCTGTTTCCTCAGATGTAAATGAGAATAACAGTACACATATTATAGGATTGTTCATAGGATTCAATGAGGTAATGTTTCTCTTACCACAGCCTTGGTAAGCACTCAGTAAATGCCACTTGTCCTGAGGCTTTTATTTAGATCTCACAGACTTGAGTGTGACACAGAATATGCACTCAACATATGATAGTGATTATTTCTATTAATACCAGTGAACAAATAGTTATTGAGAACCTACTATATGCTGGAGTTTGTGGTCTCTGATTTCACGGTGTTTAGTCTCATAGGTTGCACGAAATAGTAAACATTCAGTTATAATGTCATAAGTACTACAATAGGGTGTTATGACCACAAAGGAGTTGAGGATCAGAGAAGCCTTCCAGAGGAATTAATGGGAGTTGGGGTGAGGTTGATCCCTGCAGAGGAAGCAACTCTACCATAAGCAAGTACTTGACAGCAATCATGGAGTCAAATAATCAGTTCCCATTTGGCCAAGTATATAATGGAGAAGAGCAAAAGTTAGAACGTGGAGCTAGTGCAGTCAACTGTGACCAGATTGTGAAGACCTGGTAAATCCCTAGGGAATTATTATAAGGTAACCTGAGGAGCCACTGAGGGAGGGAGAACCTTTGATTAGATTTGCATTTCGGAAAGCTTGCTTTAACTATCCTGTGGATTATGGAATAGAGAGAGGTGAGTGATTTTCGTTTGGGATGGGAAAGGTCATTTTCTCACACTTCATTTATTGGGATCAAATGACCTAGAGTTTCAGTGATAGCCAGAATGGAATGATGTAGATTGATAGGATGGAATGTGAAAGGCACCACAGACCCATTAACTTGGTTAGTTTGGGAGTAAATGGATATCTAAAATAGGTGTGATTCAGATAAGTGAAATATGTAAACGTCCTTGAATGTGTCTGCTTTTACATTAAACATTCTTCTGTTACTACATTACAAATTAGTCAGACAAGCTTAGTTCCATAGAGATATCTTGAAAATGTTCTGGTCAAAGTACTAATAATACTTCTCATCTGAAAACATTGAAAATGTGTTTTATAAAACAAAATAAAAACCCAAACCATCCTGTTATTAAGTTCCCTGGGCAAGGGGCCTCATAAGGTTTCAGGCTCTTTACCATCACATGCAAAGACAATTCTTTGCTCAAGGGCTGTATAGAAACAGGTGCAGGCCATAGTTTGCCACCCCTTCCCTACAGTGTTGTTTTCCATCATTTGATAAACTTTGTTACTCAATGGATTCTTAGATAAGATTGCTATCTAATGATTTCTAAAAGTCTGTTTATATTGACAGTTCAGAAAATCAACTATAGTTAATTGTTTCTTTATCTTTTCTTCTGTCAAATCTCTTTTGATTTTTAAGGTGAAGAAATTTTGGTCCAAACTGGTGACTGTAACATATTAATGTCAGAGCCAGGACCAGAACCTGTTTTCTGGTTTCTGGTTCAATATCATTCTTGTTATATGGTCAGCCCTGTGTAGCCCTGTTTTCTGACTCCAAGGATTGAACCAACTGTGGATCAAAAATATTTGGGAAAAAAAAGTTAAAAAGAACAATACAACAATAAAAAAAAGGACTTATAAAATAATATAATACAACAGCCATTTACATAGCATTTACTTTGCTTTAGGTATTATTAGTAATCTAGAGATTATTTAAAGTATATGGCAGGATGTTCATAGTTATATGTCAGTACTTTGACATTTTATATGAGACACTTGAGCATCTGGATTTTGATATAGGGTAGGGGGAAGTCCTGGGACCAGTCCCCCGTGGATACTGATGGACTGCTGTACTGTGACATCAATATGGTGAAAATTTGTGTGATAGAATTTCTAAGCCCTACCTTTTATAATTCAAATACAGCATAAACAATATTGACAGTCTCTTAAAGCTGTAAAAGGATTTATAGAATTGTTAGATTTGAGTTTTATTATCTTTTAAAATGGAATTAAAACTAATGAAGAAGCTAGATTTAATTCTTTCTTTTTCTATTTTTAGGTACCTTTAAAACAGGGCAGAAGCCTTATGGATTGGATTCGCCTGACCAAAAGTGGAAAGGATCTAACAGGATTAAAAGGCAGGTTAATTGAAGTAACTGAAGAAGAACTTAAGAAACACAACAAAAAAGATGATTGTTGGATATGCATAAGAGGTAGGTGGTATTTATTAAGTCCTTCAAAAAATGTTGACTGAACTTTCCAATTATGATGCTATATAACCTCATAGTCATGTTATTTTAAACATGAATTGACAATTATTTAACAAAAATATGTCCTGTGCTTAACAATAATTTATATAATTCTGACTTTGGATAGTATTTCTTCCTTAAGTAACCATTATATTCTGATGCAGAAAACAGTGAACTTCTGATATGAAAAAGTTTTTCTTGCTTCCTTGTACTGCATTTCCTTTGAAAGGAAACAAGCATTTGCCAGGCAATATAGTACAAAATTATTTGGTAAAATCCAGTTTATGTAGCAATAACTTTCTGTCTCAGAGCCTTATAACAGAATTCTGTTGGGAAAAAAAAAAAAATCTCTGAGAATCTAAAGTAAACCTGAGAGTCTTGCATTAAAATCAGATCTTCAGTTTTCACTTGCAGCAATTTTTGTTACATGGTGTATGTTTCTTAGCAATATTAATTACTTGATTTTGTTTAGCTCAGAGTATTAGAAACTCCAAATTTGATATAAATGTATTGGAGGAGGTGAGCAGACAGACAAGAGGGTAGCTGATAAAAGCTGACTTTGTAGTAGCCAACTACCTGACATCTAGTAGGGGAACAAAAATAAAAATGAAGGGCATCCAACTATACCATGAGGCTCCATACATGGTTAACTGTGTTTACCATCTGTTTAGAGAGGAAGGGAAATACATCATTTTTGTTCTTAGTGCAATTGTAATTTTATCACTGTGTAATTTTGGTTTGTTGTCAGTTATCCTGAGTACACTATAACCTGTATGAGGGCAGGGACATTGTTGGTCTTACTGCTCTGTCACTAGTGGCTGGCACATAGAGGCCATTGACTTGTATTTGTTCAACGAGTGTAATACTTACTTTTAAGAAGTATGGTTACTTAAAGAGGTGTCTGGTAGTTTTCACAGTGGATTGGTGATATCAACAGATATCAACACCAGTAAATGCTAAATTAATTTTCCATGGATCCCGTAACAAAGGACCACAAACTAGGTGGCTTAAACAACAGAAATTTGTCTCATAGTTCTTGATGGCTAGAAGTCTGTGATCAAGGTGTCAGCAGGGTTGGTTCCTTCTGAGGACTGAGTAACAATTTGTTCCATGCCTCTCACCTAGCTTCTGGTGGTTTGCTGGCAATCTTTGGAATTTCTTGGCTTATAGAGCATTACCCTAATATCTGACTTCATCTTCACATGACATATTCCCTATGTGCTTGTCTGTGGTCAGATTTTCTGTTTTTATATGGGCGCTAGTCATACTCAATTAGGGACCTCCCCTACTCCAGTGTGACCTCATATAATTTTGCATCTGCAACAACCCTATATCCAAATAAGGTCATATTCTGAGCTACTGATGGTTAGGACTTCAACCTATGAATTTGGGGAGACACAGTTCAACCCATAGCAGACACAATTAGAGTGTGAAATTTTCAGTGGCAAAGGGTATGGAAACTTCCAGCAGGTGATGACATAGTTTGTATTGAGACATAATAGGTGTTCAACTACCCAAAGTTCCTCAGAGACATACAAATGTGAATGGTACCAACAATCTGGATTGAGGATTCTGGCAGGTGCAAAAAGATCTTTTTGACATTTTATAGGGTTTTTGCCACCCTCTTTATCCTTCCTTCATGCTCCCTACCTGTTTACCAGCTGCAAGTAACTGGTACAAAATGACTTCCCCATTGTGCTTGAGTGTTTTCCACTAGATAGGAGGAAGTCAAGATTAGCTTCCCAAGAACACCTTTCAGCTGGCCTAGGCTGCAGGCATGCCTGAGTTCTGTTTCTGCACTAAGAAACCACTTATTCAAAAATTCGATTATGTGAACCTCTCATGTCCTAGTGATATTAGATAATTGAGGCATTATTAGAATATAGTTAGACTTTATTATTCATATGATGTATTGATGGGGACAAGGGACTGGATTGCTGTGTTTGAAAAGTAATACAGGTTGAATATCCCTTATCCAAAATGCTTGGGATCAGAAGTATTTTGAATTTGGGATTTTTTCAAATTTTGGAATATTTGCATTATATACTTACTGGTTGAGCATCCCAAATCCAAAGACTGGAAATCTAAAAGGCTCTATTGAGTGTTTCTATTACATATGTTGGAGCTCAAAAAGTTTCAGATTTTGGAGCATTTCAGATTTATAAATTTGGGATACTCAACCTCTACACTGCTCCCAGTTCCGTATCCTCTGTAATGATTTGAACGTATAGCACTTTGTGTGATAAGGTTGTTGATTTAATCATGAATTTTTTTTTTTTTTTTTTTTTTTTTTTTAAGAGGAGATAGGATCTCGCTTTGTCCCCTAGGCTGGAGTGCAGTGGCTCCATCTTGGCTCACTGTGTCCTTGACCTCCTGGGCTCAAGTATTCCTCCTGTCTCACCCTTCTAAGTAGCTAGAATGACAAGTGTGCACCACCATGCCCAGCTATTTATTTTTTATATTTTTCTAGAGATAGGGGCTTGCTCTGTTGCCCAGGCTGGTCTTGAACTCCAGGTCTCAAGCAGTCCTCCTGCCTCAGCCTCACAAAGTGCTGGGATTGCAGGCATGAGCTGCCATACATGGCCATGAATTTTTTAGAAGTTTCTTCTGGGGAACATGTTCTACTCTATTAACAGTAAGACATTTTCCCCTCTTGGTAGAAATAAGATGTGTCTTTTTTATCTTTTTGACAGTTTGGTCTTTTATTTTATCAAGAAACACTCAGTTTAGACCTTGCTGATGGAGGAAGGATAAATGACTATTAGCAGGCAGAGTGAAGCTCCTTAAGAGGGCTACAAAGTATAAGTGATACCAGACTGTTGAAAGGGAGACACATGAGTTAGGAAAATCAGGGATGCTTTTGTGGTAGAGATAAGCCTTGAAGCAGTAGGCAGGATTTCAACAGGAAATGAGGAAGTGCACTCAGATGGAAGGAAAGGCCTGAACAAAGGAACAAAAACAGGAAAGTTTGAGGTGTTCTGGAGCTTAGGTTAATTGTTGGAGAATTATAAGAAGGCTGGAAAGGTGTGTTAGGTCAGATTGTGGACAACCTTGAAAGCCAGACTGGGAAATGTGTTCCTCATATAGATGGCAGTGTGTACTCTTGAAGGGATTTGAATGTGGGGACAGTGTTATAAGAGTATGCCTTGGAAAGATTAATCTGGTGGTAGGTGTGGTGAATTGAAATGGGATAAGGAAAGCATTTATTTTCTTACAGAAGTTCAGATGATAACAGGAGGTGAACCAGGATGTTGACAAAGGTCATGGAATAACAAGGTGAATGTGAGACAGACAGATTACTGGTAACTTCTAACATGATCCCAAATGAAACTAAAAATACATGTGTAAGGGAAATGGCTCTGCTTTAGTCAGGAGTAGGCCTAAGCGGCCTTTCTGCACAGCATGACTCAGCGGGTTTGGAGCGCAGGCACACAACGTCGCACATTATATAACCATGCTGTGTGAGCTTGTGCTTGGCTCTGAGTCACTATTGTCTGTAAAAAGTATAATTGCCCTGCTTAACGCTGTACATACAGCTTGCTCGCACCCAGAGAGAGAGTAAAGCCATGTTGAAACTCTCTACGATTCCTTGCGTGTTTTTCCAGCTACCTACCACTTGCCCACTCACTCCCCTCAGACCTCAGAACCTGACAACATGACTAAACAAAGGTATCTTTTTCTTCACAGCTGTTCTAATTTAAAATATTACTGATAGCTTCTTAATGGGGGAATGTGTGTGCCAACTTTAGTCTTGAAGGTCAGAGATAGTGTTTGGACCCAAGTTTTAATCAAAACTGTGCCACAGGGAAGCATGGTATGATAGTGCCATTTTTTTTTTCCTTTTTTAAAGTACTAATTCCTTCATTTTGTGACAACTGCCCCATTTTTAGATTAGGTCTGAATTCAACTGATCACAATATGGGAGACACAATCAGTTTCTTTAGGAAGTCTTAGAAAATACACAATTTGGTGTGGGTTTTTATGGCTAGTATTTTGGGGACTATTTTCTCTTTTTGAATAAGTAGCAGCATTTCTGCCTCATGTTCAGGTGTGCTGAGCCTGGTCACATACCTTAAAATGATGGTATAAAAACAGCACTTGGCTGACAGTGGGATGTAAAACATGAGCATCAGTTTGGAATGATCTCTAAGACGTGTATCGAGTTCCTAATTTGTTCATTTAATTTTCACCGTTTTCTGTAAAGTATGTAATTATTGTAAAGCAGTAGTAGTTAATTGGAATGCCGAAGAAATGGGTTGGTAGGGGAATTACTGCTTTTTAAAAAAACTTGTCGAATTTACCATTAATTCATGCTTTTATATTTTTCTCTTTTACTGTTGTTTCAAGTCCCTTTCTCAAGAACCAAAGATTTACAAACATGTAAGGTGTTGAGCAAGTGGGTAAATCACTCATCTGAGAGTTCTCCTGTCAAGCGTAGATCAGACTGTTTTTACTGTAGTATGATACATTTTATTGTAGTATAGTCAGTGTTAGTAATGATGCATTAAGTAGTGAAATCATCATTTGGGCAGCATGGTTCAGCCTTTTATCTTAGTGAGGGTGAGGGAAGTGTGGCTTGTTACTCAATAACAGTCTATTTGAATAAATGGTATTTCAAAAAAAGTTGACTACAGCCAAAGGACTAGTGTCTCTGTTGCTAAAAATTTAGCAGATTAGGTTCTCCAAATGGTATTTTATGGATTTCACTTATTTAGAAATGAACGTATTTTGATTTCTCCTTAAGCTGATTGTCATGTACTAGTAAATTGAAGAGGCCTGCTTGATGCCACTGCAAAAGTGGCTTATAATGGGTCTGTTTTTTTAATTTCATAACTGTTTTTTAAAACTTGTGAAGTGGATCCTAAGAAGTAGTATTTAGTCCTGTTATATTTCCATTATAGTTATTTAGATCTCTGGGTTCATGTACAACAAACCTTTTAAAATTTACTCATAGGATGATAGTG